ATTTTACATGGAGGGTAGCTCCCTCACGTGTTATTTTATTTTCCAATAAAGTCACTATCACCAATGAGATGGATGACCCTCAATTTTTACGCAATAAAATATTACATTTTCAGTTATCTACTTATGTGGTAATATTAAACTCATATTAATCCACTTATCTTATTAAAGGGACGAGAGGCTAACAACACATTCTTCCCTCATTAAAGGGATAAGAAGCGGACTACTCCTTCTACACAGAAGGGCGAGATAATCAAAGCTTTCATCAGTTACTAGAGAAATAAGATGACTACCTCTCGTATTAAAGGGGTCACCCTCTTTCAGACTACATCTCTTTCCCCCATAAAGGAACGAAGGGTCAACTTCATCTTCTTTCCTCAGTAAAGAGGCGAAGGGTTAACTTCTCCCTTATTAAAGGGAGAGCTCACAACGCTCGAGCGAATCTACTTCTCTCATTAAAAGGGGTAAGAAAGTAATTATCAAGTATGCTTAACTCAGTAAGACTTGATGGCATTCCCGATGCTTGACAAAAATCTAATTCCCTTACTCAAAGGATACAAGGGATGATAGTGAGTGTCTTGTATTAAAAGGACCTGGGCTAAATGAATCACGTAATCAATAACTTCGTATTATAAGGGATAGTAAATAAATGTTCTGTATTAAAAGGACTCGGGATGAATGAATCCCGTTATCAATATCCCCGTACTATAAGAGATAGTAAATAAATGTCCTGTACTAAAAGGACCCGGGTTGAATGAATTCCGTAATCAATATTCCCTTATTATAAGGGATGGTAAATAAAAATCTCTTATTAAATGGACGAGCTGAGTAAATCTCGTAAAATTTAATTCCCTAATTAAAGGAGTGACGACCTAAGGGAAGCTCGTATAATTTATTCCCTTACCAAGGGAATATTACCCAAGGGAAGATTACCTAAAGGTAACAAAAATAGTACCCAATGGAAGATTACCCAAGGGTATCAAAAATAGTACCCAAGGGAAGATTACCTAAGGGTACCAGAAATAGTATCCAAGGGCAGAGTGCCCAAGGGTACCAAAAATAGTACCCAAGGGAAGATTACCCAAGGGTACTAAAAATAGTACCCAAGGGAAGATTACCCAAGGGTACCAGAAATAGTACCCAACGACAGAGTACCCAAGGGTACCAAGGGAATAGTACCCAGGACAAAAAAAAAAAAAAATTGTTCACATGAACAGTACCCGCGGCAACTGTTCCCGAGCCAAGGCAAAAAAAAAAAAAAAAAAAGTTACTGTTCGCATGAACAGTACCCGAGGGCACAGTTCCAGAAGAACAATGCACAGGGCAAAAAAAAAAAAAAAGTTATTGTTCACATGACAGTACACCCCCTCCCCCGCGGGCGCTATTCCCGAAGGGCAAAAAATATATATATTACTGTTCATATAAACAGCACTAACGAGCACTGTTCCTCCGGGAACAGTGCCCAGGGCAAAAAAATAAATAAATAAAATTTACATTACCAAAGCTAGACAAGCAAACTTAGGAATGGGGGATAACTGATAGGGAAAAATAAACCTAATCTACCTTGACCTAACGATAGAGGCAACTAAGTGTTGACTGGCCGCTAGATCTCTTCTATTTTTAAACGATGATATTTTCATTGGATAAGATGATATGGTTGAACAGGATAAGATAACCTTGGTACGATTTGAGAAAGTCAAAGGGTTAAATCATATCCCCGACAAATCTGGCATTAAATAGATATCGCGCATAAGCGGATCTCCTCTGATCTCGCACAAGCGGATCTCCCCTGATCCCGTAAATGAATTGAGGAAGAGTGACAATAAGAATGAGATCCTACCAGTCACTAAAGGTACGACAAAAAAACTATTACTAAATCTCTGCATTTCTTTTAGGCCTCCGGTGACTAACTTGATCGTCGGAGAGCTCTCGGTAGGCACCACACTGGTGTCGTCAAGATTCATCGACCTTCTACTCTCTTCTTTGCAGGAAAACGGTATCGTATCGGACCGCGTGGATTTCTCCCCTAACAATAGCAATAAATTTATTTATTTTTTTCCATTTTTGTAATGAATTGATACTAATTATAAAATTAAGGTAAATGGTATAATTAATATTTAAATAAGAGAAAATATAATAAAAAATAATTTAATAAGAAATGAAAATTTTAATAATAAAGATGAAAATAGTCTTTTGGGATGGGTTTGTCCTTAATTGCAACAAATCAATAGTTTAGGGGGGCAATCTTTAGTTTAAGGGGTTACCTGCAAAATCAATAATTCAGGGAATTTTTTTTGCACTTTACCCTAAAAAAACCACCCTCTATCTATTTTACTTTTCAAATTTAAGATTATTAATACCACCCAATTTAATAATTAAGGTAATTACCAAAAAAAAAAAAAAAAAAAAAAAAAAACAAGTATTTTATATTTCTCGTCATATCTCTTACTCACTCTCTCAAACAAAGAATTTCTTTACATTCATCTGATGTAGTTACAAAATTTTTAGAATAAAAATCAATACCAACCAAATTTAAGGAAAAAAAAAAAAAAAAAAAAAAAAAAAAAAAAAACAACCCTATTGTCAAAATAGAAAATACTTGGCTCTCTTCACACTCTTGCTCACATGTCTATCTCTCTCAAAAATAACAAATTATACTCTCACGTCCCTTGGAATAAAAGTCAATACTAGAAATCCCATACCGCCATGTCCAGAAGATCGATGGAATTCTTATATTAAATTTTTTTTTTCCTTACTTGTTAATTTAATAACACCTTTATTACTTTGATACCATTATTACTTTGTTATAACTCTCTTATATCGAATTATTTGTTAATCTATTCATCGTTTCATTTTTTTTTCTTCGAATGGTCTCATTTTATTCATTTTCGTTCTCTCTGAAAAATCAATTTTCTACTTCATGGTATGGAATTCTTTTACATGTGTTCAGTAATATGCTGTGATTGCACAAAAGAAAATAAAAAATAAAAAATAAAAAAAAGGAAAGAAAATTGCCTTAATTTGAATTAGAAAGAGAAGAAAAAATTTACTTTTTTTTTTTATTAAAAAAAGTAAATTTAAATATTATAAAGAGGGAGCCTAAACAGCCCATAGCAATATTACATAAGTAGGTCCAGACTTGAAGTAAGCCAGGCCATGAGAGAATAAAGTTTGAACAAAGTAACCAAGCACAAAGACCCCAGCCCAAGAAGCTAACAGAAAAGGAAACCGTCAATGGCTTCAACAAATCCAGTATCAACATGGTGAAAATCCACCACTGGTGCGTCGCTGATCAATGGTCTGGTGGTTTCGGAGGTGGTCGAATGATAGAAGGCAATTCCCATTCACTAGCGATTCTTCTTACATTGTCTGAGTCCTTGGAGGATGAGGATAGGAGTTTAGAACGGACCGCATCAAGTGTTTGGTGAAAGAACTACATTTACCGATAATCTTTTCTTCTGAAAAATCCTCCTATTCCTTTCTGTCCGAATGTTGTAGAGGATGGAAGATACAGCCATTTTAGAAACTGCATTGTTATCCGTGGTTGAATTCCCTCTCTAGTGGTGAGCCATCCATGCAATTAACCTACCCCAATTTAGTGGTAACATGTGAAACCCACAACGCATTTGTATAAATGTCCACAAGGGTTTGACAAATGGGCATTTGAAAAGCAAATGATCATGGGATTCTGGTGCATTGTTGCAAAGAACAACTCAACTGTTTTTCTCTCCATTTTTCTTCTCATATCATTTATAGACATTCTATTAACAATTATTTGGATTGAGCGTAATCGGAGAATTTTTAAGAAAAAATCTCTCAACCAAAATTCATTACTTTACCAAACGCTGGAGACAATCAGACTAAAACTCATGTCTACAACCATCTCCGACTCTGTGAATGCCAGACGCATTATAGATGAATGGGAGCTTCCACCCTTAGCTATCAGACCACCGGCCAAGCCTCCTGATCAACGGATTTGAGGAGAGCATCTTCTCCATAGACATTGCTTTGTGTTGTGTCAATGTAACTCTTGCTGGGTTGTTTGCTCTTGTGCGTTGGGCTGTCTCATGGGCTAACTTGTATGGTCTCATGCTTTTGTAATTTGGTTAGCCTTGTATTGTATATCTTATTATTTATAAAATTGATTTTCCTTTTCAAAAAAAAAAAAAAAATATATATATATATATATATACGTGATATATTAATTACAAAAAAATAAAAATAAAAATATACATGATATTATAAAGTTCATTAACAAAGTACAAGCACAAGTGTGGTAAAACCTATTCACTTCTTTCATGTGCACCCTTGTGCATACAAAATATAAAATCTATTTGTTACAAAATGTATATATGTGTATAGATTTATAATCAATAAAGGATAGCTTTGATTGGGAGTACTTATGTTATGTCTCAGTGACACTAAAGTTATGTTTGGAGTACCAAATTGGAATCTTAAAAAATGTAAGATAGTAATTGAAATATGCATAAACAGGAAAATATATAAGTTTTCATTTGTGATGATCTATTACTTCTTGACTGGTGATGTGATTCAATAACAAATTGACATGTCTTCTTTAATTTTGAATCCAGCATTGAAACTTGGTAAGATGGGAGAAGGTAATGGTTGGGTTAATGGCCTAAGCATAGGTTGATATTGGGCCTCAATTCGTACTCCTTTCAGGGTCTCCTTCACTTCAAGAGATTAATGTGTTATAAATGTGTAAGCTTTATATAGCCATTAGTTTATGTGTTAAATTGTAATTGATCGGACCAATGATCTTGCCAATTACTTTAATTAGCAATAGAATATAAATCTCTCCCACAATAAACCTCTCAAAGAATAAGCAAATATTTAGTAATAGATTAATCTCTGTTAGAAATGGGAGGACAAAAAGATAAATGAGAATCAAGTGCCACATATATGCAACAACTATTTAGTCCTCCAAATGCATGTTAGACTAGGTTTAAAAAGATCATAGCATAAACTTTGCTGCTAATTAATTATTTATTCTCTGGGTTAGGGGTAAACCAAATGGGGGTTGGTAGCCAAATATTGTTGAATGGATGAAGATGAGACGGGAAAATGGATTTGATCGTGAAATCTTGCATGTTGTAGATGCCGATATCATCACATCTCATCCGGACGTCAACGTTGAAATAGATAGAATTGGGGATCAATACTCCAGGAGCAAAGTCAGTAGCTGATAGATGAAATGCATGGTTCAATCCCACGAACAGAACTCCGTCACCGAGGTCCGTCACATAATCCCAACCCCTTTTGGTCGTATTGAATCTGCTAACATCGAACCGAAGAGTCTTAAAAGAGAAATTTTGACCATGATCGGAGTTATCCGTGTCGATGATCGTGCCATCATCTGCAGCCCCCGCCACAAACCTTTTAACCAGCAAAACATCCCCAGAATGCGATTCCATCGCCAGGTAGTTCCTATACTGAATCAGAGAACTATAATTCCTTAGTTTCTTTTCAGACTCCGGGTAATCGGGAGTCCCATAAACGAGGCCTGCTTTGATATCAATTCTCCTTGGGGAACAAGGATTGCGGAGATTCCAGGCGTCGAGATCTGAATCGGAATAGGAGTCTGTGCAATAGAACAATTGATCCTCGCTCGAATACGCAAGGTCGGTAGGGGTTAACAACAACCCTGGATTATCATTATCTTCCAGGGTAGTCCAGGATGAGTCACCTAGTTTACAGAATGCAAGACCAAGATCATTGCTTAGAATCACCATTAGTGTGCACTCATTGTTGGCATCGGATGATGACAATGGAGGAGATGACAGGACAATCTTCCTTATGAAAGGGTACTCCCAACTTGAAAAATCTTTTTGAATGGTTTCCAAGGGAGGTAGGCGGATTGTGGGCGGCACAGGGGAGACTAAGGGATTGGTTAGAAAGAGAGCACGGTCATGAATTTCAATTTAGGCCAGCCATCCGTGGGAGGAGCCGATGCACATTGCGTGATCCGGGATGGAAATGTTACTCTTGCTCCTGACATTGTTTAGGCTCACAGTTTTCGCTAGATTGTAGAAGTAATAATCTGAAAAGTGAAACTTTTGTCCAGTACCTTTAACTAGTTCTTTCGTAATGGCTGAAATCACCTCATTCTCCTTGGGAGAAGGTATCAACAAATACGGCACCTTTGACGATAACAGTGGATGATTACCGGATTTTATCTGATCCCCTTGAAAATTAGTGGAACAATAGTTACAAGAAGAGTTGATTGTTGTTATTCCCCGCGAGAGAATAGACCAACGTAATGGGTTATAAGTGGAGGAGGAGAAGGATATAAGTTCCTTGACACCACCACAACCACCGTTGCCTAGAAGAAGATACCCTAATTGTCTTCCCCGGTTGAGATTGAGATGACCGAAAGAAGCCGTCCTCCAAACACAAACAACCGAATTTAATTTAAAAGCCATGGATCAAATGATATTAATATTAATTATGCGACATATATAATACCCTTGTACTGAAGAGAAAAATTTAGGGGAAGAGAGTGAGGGAATATTATGACCAAGTTAGGGTTTTTGAAATCTTGTAAAAAGATGAGAAAAAAGCAATCACACAAGGCAGGCTGTGGGATAGAAAAGTGAAGGAGAGCCGGAGGTGTGTGAGGGGATTATTAGGCCTACGCCCACCCGCATCCTAATAAATACTTGGGTTCCAAGAAAAGAAATTATTAGGTCCTGCACGTACCCTCAATTGTCAAATACTTATTTATTTTTCTTTTATAAATCATTTCTCAAATCCTCAATTGCCAAATACTTATTTATTTTTATTTTATAAATTGTATGGGGTCAACTTTATTTTAATTTTCTTTTTATAGATTAGGTTTTGTGACAGCTATATTATAAGCTTTAGGAAAGTATTATACAAGGAGATAGAATCATTGAAAATTTTTCTATTTAGAGGAAGGGAGCCGTAAGTGTAATTATGACCGTAAGAGAAAGGATGATTTCATGCACCTTGTTAAATTAATAAATTATGAATCTTCGGAATGACAATGGAGCGGGTTTACCTAAATTTATTCCCGCCTCGTTTGATTATTGGCAAATTCATGCCCGTCCCATGCCCCACGACCGGTTAAATTTTCATGTCCATTCTTGCCCCGTTGAAGAATGTTGTGCCCCATACCCGCCCAGGTAGCAAGTTTTTTCCTCACACTTTCTAGGACTTAAACTGTGTCCCACTAACAAATTTTTTCCTCACTATTGATGTGTGTGTGTATATATTGTGTATGCAAATGATGATGATGATGATGATTATTATTATTATAAGGCTGCAGGGGTATTTTATGTAGTTTAACCTTCTATTTACCCCTTCTCTCTTGTCTCCCTCTCTTTCATTGAGAGTGAATGGACTTATGGTAAAACCTAATCACATCTTTCATGTGCACCCTTATGAATAAAAAATGTAAAATTTATTTCTTACAAAAAGTATATATGCGTATAGATATATAACCATAACCAATAAACGATAACTTTGATAGGGAGTATTTATGTCTATGTGGCATTAAAGTTATGTTTGAAGCACCAAATTAAAATATTAAAATATTTATTTATTTTTTATTTAATTCATTTTATTTCAATTTTAAGACTTAAATTTAGTGCTCTTAACCGCAAAATAGTAACTGAAATATTCATAAAAAGCACAGTTCTCATTAGTCAGCATCTACTAGTTTTTTACTACTAATATGGTTAAATAACAAATTACTATTTTATTCCGTACCAGTTAAATTGAACTTTGGTTCGATAGGAAAGGTATAGGTTGGGTTATGTCACACCCCAAGACCGTACTCCGGATTGTGAACTCACCCCACAGACAACCAAGGTCTCATAAATATAAACATCCCTGTAAACCTGTCTCATCATACTCATCCACCTATCCATTCCCATTATACCACAACGCATGAAAAATAAACAGGTAAGATACTCATATTACAACTGTTAAAGTCTCAAGTTTGTAATAACATTTATTACATGTCAGGAATATAACTAAAATAACATTACACAATACTGTCTCACAAATATACACTATCTCTATAACAAAAGAGAATACGACAACCATAAACCCAAATCCGTCTACAACTGGAGAGGAACGTCATCTGTGACCTCCTTTCCCTGACTTGAAAAGATGTGTATAAAATAAGAATGAGCAACCACAGCTCAGTAGGAGTTGCCTAAAGTGCACTCCTTAATGTCTCCGTGAATCCATGCATAGGACAGATATAAGATACCGGGATCATACAGGCTCGGGGAAGTAATATCATGTGAAATAATAAAATGAAGTGCAATGTAATGCTAATGCCAAAGCCAAAGCCACTTCCCACTTTCCCGAGACGATAACCAACCACTTATCCCACGAAGAAGACTGATCATCTGTCCCTGACTCAAAGTAATCTCTAGCGCCGTTTGTGGCCTAGTGACTCAACCACATGTAGATAATGTCTTTACGTTTTCTCTAGATCCATTAACAACCTGGATACGAGGTAATCCCCGCCATCCAACATTCCACGTTACTCTTTTCAACCCTTTTTTCTCAACACACATCATATGAGATGTTTCCACTTTCCTTTCCATTCCAGACTCATTCCCAAACCATGCAAGATGAATGTACATTCATAATGATACAATGTACAACATATTAAAATCAATAATTTGATCTATGTCCATATACAATAAATATTATCAATTAAATTCTTTTAAAATTCTAGCATGCTTACTAACACAATAATTATCACATAGTCACCTACTCAGGAAAATGGTTGTCAATTCAAATTTATTTATTTAGTTATTTTTAAATAAATAACATTCAATTAAAGAGATATAATTCACCAAAGGTAAAGGTTGTGAGATTTAAACAATCCTACCTCAAAAGAAGCTTGAAACCTTGTTATTCATAATCCAAAGCCACACAAAGGAAGAATCAAAATCATCAACAATTGTAAAAATGAAGAACACCTCCTTGTAGTATAACCAAGGTAGGATCTTCATTACCAATAACACTTGGTCATTTCCCCCTTCCATACTATCCATTATTCCACAACTTCAACAGATAACCAACCTTCCCTACCCACAAACAAGCTGTAATGGCAAACACATTTGGATTCCCTTACCCAATGGTGAATTTTCCATTGCACACACCATGAAACATTTCAATAAACATCTTCCAACCCTTCCTTGGACTCACCTAGTCTGGACCAAACCCTTAATTCCCAAGCATTCCTTCATACTATGGGTAGCAATCCAACAAAGACTCCCCACTTTGGACAAGAGATGTACAACACATATCAATTCAACATTGTGTACCCTATACAACACAGAATTAGAATCCCACATCCACTTATTTTTTAGTGCCCCTTCGTCAAACCATTGTGGACATTTCTTCAAACAAGATGCAGATTTTACATCCAACCATCATCCTGGCCTGACCTCATTAATTGGGTTGCATATCATTGGAAGGGATTCTTAGCTTCTCACAGCCGCACTCTGTAAAAAATGAGCTTGGCAGCCTTGGTGTACCACATAGATCGAGAGAAACAAAGCTATCTCTGCAAACTCACTTCTTCACCAAACTCTGGATTCTGTTAGAGTAAAAATCACAGTCTCTTCCATTAGTGACACTTCTATTGCCTCAATGATTGCAACAAATTGGGATATTCTTGATTCCACTATTCGACCACAAAGGAAACCACCAGACCTCAATAACTGATGTGTTATTTGCTGGAGTCTTGCTCCTGTCACCAGAAATTATGGCAACATATGGTTGTAGCTGTTATATTGTTGGTGCCTTTGGGCTGTTACGTTTGATATGCCTTTTTGGCTGTTTCAATCTGCTTTGTATTCTGGCCCTTTGGTTAGCTATGGCTAGCCTTTCTTAATCCAATTTAACTTTAACTTGAAAAAAAAAAAGGACCCTTTCCTTTCAAGACCTCTTTCAGAAACCCAACTATAACGACCCACTCTACCATATGGTACGATATTGTCCGCTTTAGGCCTAAGCCCGCACGGTTTTGCTTTTCCCAAAAGGTCTCATACCAATTAGAGTAATACACCTACATATAAGCACTTCACCTTTCCCTTACCCAGGCGATGTAGGATTGTGTGCCCGTAGCTCGCCAGTGTGGTAGTCTGTTAGTGTCTTGTACCCTCCCATGACACACCCGCCCACAGGGTCATCATAATCCACCCCTTTGGAGGCCCAACGTCCCCGTCAGCACACTTCTGGCTTGATAAAGCTCTGATACCATTTGTAACGATCCACTCCACCACATGGTATGATATTGTCCACTTTGGGCTTGAGCCTGCATGGTTTTTCTCTTGGGCTTTACCCCAAAAGGCCTCATAAATACTAATTGGAGTGACACACCTACATATAAGTACTTCACCTTTCCCTTAAACATCATGAACAGCAGAGAGTTTGGTGATGAGCACTGAAAATTGCGTATTTAAACCCCTTAAACTACGACATTTTAGTACCCTTATCTATCTTACTTTACCGTTTTAGATTGATTTCGTATTATTTTCATTTTCAGGTACTTATCCCAAAAATAAGCTAACTCAGCCAAATAAGAGCTTAATTGAAGCAATTTTGGGATTAAACAAAGAAATGAGCAAAATGGAGAAAGAAGGAAGCAAATGAAGCCAAAGGTGGGAAGCAGCAAAGTTCGATCGATCAAAGTTTAAGGTTCGTTTTAAATTAATTGATTATTTGTTTGTTTTGATTAATT